GTATTCGATTTTCGCTAGTGCGTGTGTGTGTGTGTTTGTGAGAGAGAGAGAGAGAGTGAGAGAGAGAGAGAGAGAGAGAGAGAGAGAGAGAGAGAGCAGTCTAATCAGGACGCAAGAGAGGAGCTCCCCCTCTGGCTGTATACCGAAGCAGTAAGCTGAGCAACAGTTGTGTGCGCTGGGCCGCTAACCACCTCAAACCTTGACACTAATGCTGCTACCTGCTCACCGTACGTGCAGCGAAGCGGCTCCCGGGAACAGGCAGCACGCGCTCATCTCAGAGCTGCTACATGGCGATGCTTGGCAAAACCTGAAATAGCGGTGAAAAAAAAACCGCATAGATGAGAAAATCATCTGTGTCCGTGCACCACATTTATTCTGACCCAAATTCAATATTGGATTTGCAAAAAATAAATAAAAGATAGCCTGAAAAATGTGCAGCACTGAAGTCAAAGATATGACTATTTAATGTTGTCCGGCAGGTTTTATTATTGGGAAGGTGACGAGAAGAACCCGCTGGTTGGGCCGAGCGCGCCCGATTCGTCCGATGATATGAAAAGTCTCAAGTTTTCTTTGCCGGGGCCAAACCCACGCAGGAGGCCACGAGAGAGGCGGCGAGCGAGGGGTTGGAGGTTGATTACTGATTTCCATTGCTATTCCTGGGACAAAGAAACGGAGGGCTGATGGGCGAGGACATCTATTTAGATCCATTTCATTCTGCCGTAATCAGGCTTTAGCCATGGCCTAATACTCGGGATTAGAAAATGGTTCAAAGTGCAAACATCTAGATCCCCCAGTATTATTCCAGTCTGCCAACCTCTCACTCTGTATGTGTGTGTGTGTGTGTGTGTGTGTGTGTGTGCACGTGCACGTGCAAGCTTGCATGCGTGCCAGATCTGCTGTGGAGGGTTATCTCTGGAATCAGGCCCATAAACCTAATCTAACCCTCTCCGCGCTCGTTCAGGAGTGAAATATTTTGTTCCAATAGGCTCCTTCTACCCCGACTTCGACTCCGGTGCGCTAATGTAAACAAAAGCCGAGATAGGAATAAGGCAGGTATGAGAAATGGCCCCGGCTCTGTTGTGACACTGTTGTTTGATACAGACTCCCGTGTCTAGCTCCCTTGCTTTGCCTGGAATGGAAGGAAACCGGCTCTGTTTGCCGGTGTGTGTTTTTTTTTTTTCCCCTTCTTCTTGATGCTAAGTGTGAGTGATCTGATCGTGGTTGTGTCTGCTTATGTGTTGAGCTCCTTTTTTTTCTATTTTTTTGTTTTGTTTTCTGAAAATGTAGGCATTATTACTGGCGGTGGTTACTGTGACTACCCGGCCCCGGCTAGGCTCGGCTCGTCTAAGTGGAAGTCTGAATGCTGTGGAGAATGGGGGGGGGGGGGGGGGGGGGGGGTGTATGTGTGTGTGTGTGTGTGTGTGTGTGTGTGTGTGTGTGTGTGTGTGTGTGAAAGGTAGCCAATGAATGTCACCTCTCATCCACTTTCTCATTAAACAACCTGCTCTGTGTCTGTCACATTGGCTGTATCTATCTTTTCCCCATCGTTTGGTGCTTTGGGGTAGATGTTGAGCACGCACACACACACTCACACACACACGTACACACTCTATGAAAGCCAGCATCCCCTCCTGGGCTGGACAGGAATAATAAGCAGCAGATGATTCATGATGGAGATGGAGGGGGGGGGGGATGTATTCAGCAGGACCACCTGAGTGACCTCATTTAGCAGACCTGAGAATAAATATAGACTGCCGCGTCACACTTTAGCCTTTGGCTCGTGTCGTCTCGGCCAGTCAGCGCTGCGTCTCTCACACGTCTCCCGCACCTTGTGGGAGCAGTCCCTCCGCTCCATCCAGAAGGTCCTTGTGAAGCCTGTGTGCATTCACATGCATTCCGCGGCAGCGGTATGCATGTGTAGTATTGGAACGGGAGCCTTTGTTGCGGGCCAGCTCTTTCTCTTGGCTGACACATTTTGTGCTGTAGATATTTCCCAACATTAACATTTGGCACCTGGTTTCTCTTATGACTTCAGCAGCTGTAGATCTTTTGTTCTCCCACTAGCCACTCTGCGGCCAGTGATCCACACCCACAAAGAGGGCCTTAACCATCGTACTAAAAAAAAAACAGCTTTGGAGCCTGACCGCTTTATTAAAAAAAAAAAAAAAAAAAAAAAGAGCAACATTCCTTTATGCAATGACCAGCTCTTTCGGTTTTCTGGACTCCTCGTGCCGAAACCGGTTTGTTCCACTAAATCATTAGCAGCAGAGAGGGAGTTTCTTTGTTCTCCATCCTACGGTTGGCTTTATCCCCTTGTGTTTTTATCTCCGCAGAGACACACAGGAAGACCCAATTCCCCAGTTTCCTCTTTCCAAAACACGACATGACCGTCGGCCTTTTAATATCTGGAAATCCAGATTTGGATTAACGTCAGTAGAGGAGAGAGAGAGGGCAGCTTTCAGATTAAAACCGAGCCGGCAGTGTGTCCTTGTTGTGGACGGCCGGTTAGGGAGTTTGTCTAACGTGTCTAGCAGTTATCTGTTTTCAAGTGAACACCGACATGATAAATGTAACTACGGCGATATCACACACGGGATGAAATGACAAACACAGGAGTGTGTGCTGCAAGTTCTCTTTTCTTTTTTTTTTTTTCACCGCACATTTGTTAATGGACTCAACAGTTGTTTCTGGAGTCAATTTCCATCTTGAACAGCGCTTAAAGGATGTAAGGACATAAGGAAATGTGATTGGAATTGGTCATGGTTAATCGGATTATGACTTTCCATCGGTACAGTAAAAGCCTTGAACTATTTGACGTTTTAAACGGCCTGAGCACAAACAACATATGAAGTGATCATCCCTTCATAAAAACCCCGGCTCTCTTTCAGTCGCTTTGCCCAAACGGAGGCCTCGAAGGGCCAACTTATCATTATGCCGCATCAGCTGGGGGAGCCTGTTCAGCCAGCCTGAAGGAATAGCTTATTTAGATGACAGGAGTAAGTTAACGCTGAGAAGATTTGCTCCCTCTGAGTGGATATAAAATTCATGGCATGACGCTCACTCTTACTCAGATTATTAAAGCGACTTTTGAGCTCAAACTTCAAAGATTCTCGCATCACCTTGCCCTGGAAATTAAAAAAATTGAAAGAAGGGGAGAAAATGGCAGGATGAGGTCGGCAATCGCGGCAGCGTCTGGGCCATTCGGTGGTGGGGAGACGGTGCGCCTTTAAGACTGGAAGCAGGCCTGTTCACCTCACTGTCTTTGAATGTTCCCTTTACAAAGAGACTTGCTCCCTGCGTAGGCTTTACATAAACCATAACCCTCACTTAGCCTTGAGTGTTCATTCACATTAATGTCCCACGTAAATTTCTCAAAAATCTTTCTGTTCCTGCGCCGCACTTGGCAGGGCCCGGCCCCTCGTATATATATTTCAGTGTCCGGCTCACTCAGGCTGTGTTGAGTCTACAGCTGGGGGAATTTGCCCCGAAGAGAGCTGTGCTGTCACAATGTTATCGCAATCATTCCTCGCAAATGATCACGCACTCATGGCCAGGCTAACAAAATGTTGTGGTTCGCCCCCCCTCGTCATCTAGAGAGTGTGATCTGATAATGTAACATAATATTAGCGCAATTCATTATTTAGTTTTCTCCAATTTGGCCTGAGCACAAAGCTGAACTCCCAGAGGGCAACAAAATGTCAACGTTAATAATACTTAGGAATGACAAGGCATGAATCAACCAGACCAGCTTTTTCCGTAGCAACAGAGCCGGATAGCTGCACCACTGGATGAAACTTCAGTTTAAGGCAGGGAAATGCATGCCGCAGCATTGACACACCACACCACGGAGGGTAAGTATTTACCCTCCGTGCCCCCCCGTCTGAGTCTGTCTCTCTTTGTGTCATCATTAGATAAGCACCCTCTCCAAGACTATCTCGTCATAATGAGGGTGCCATCTGAAGCAATCACCCAGGGAGATGGTCATTGAGTTAAGAGGGAGGGAAGGGGAGGGGTAGAGTCAGATAGGGCAGATAAAAAAACGGAATGAAGTGAGCGAAAAAGCAGAGAGAGAGTGAGAGAGACCAAGGTGGATAATGCGAGGAAGAGAAACAAAAGCATTTCAGAGGAAGGGAGTAAGTTAAAACAGCAGACTAAGCGGAGATGGAGATTGTTCGGGGAATTCCAAAATTAGAGCTGCCATCGCATGCGCCCACACAGACGCACGGCCACACACACACACACGCATGCATGTACGCGCAAACACACACACACAACCGCCTTACGCTGGCCGCTCAGTGTTAAGGTCAGAGTCACACTCTGTCTCCCTAGGTCATTATCATGGGCCCTGAAATAGACAGCCAATTGTGTCACGGTGTCTGAAGTGAATGTGACATTGAATAAACAGCCTCGCTCAAGTCCGAGCAGAACGCGCACTTTAAAACAAATGAAGGGAGGCCGACACACACACACTCTAATATAGAAATGGACACACACACACACACACAAACATTAAGGGAGGCATTTAGCTCTCGGCGCTACCAGCAAGTAATGACACATGTGGCTCAGAGGGAGTAAGCAGCTCGAGGACTTGGCAAGCAGCTGGAACTCTGGCTGGCATGTCTCAATGTTCAAGTATGCACAGACAGAAAACACACAGACACACACAGGTCTGACCACACTCCGCCCCTCAGTAGGCTCTAATGTTGTTCCATTCATTTGACTTCACTTTATTGCATTAATGAGAGATACCGTTGAGAGGAGCTGACGGTTGATTGAGGGTGAGAACGGCTAATCACTGGAACAGCTAATCAGTGCTTGTCGTAAATATTGATTGGTTCTGTGCGTTGTGGACGTGCTCATTAACCAGTGTGTCATCTTCTCTTCTCTCCTCCTGCTTCTCTTCTCTTCACCCTCCGTCACATCCCCCTCCCCCTCTCCTTGTCCTTCTCCCCTTCCTCTCCTTTCTCCTCACACCTCATCTCCTTCTCTCCCCTCTCCAGCAACCTCCAACGGCACCGTCGACGGCCTGGAGAACCGGGAGGGAGGCGTGTGCAAGAGCCGAGCCATGAAAGTCATCATGAAAGTCGGGCAAGGTAAACGTGCGCTCGCCTCACATTTAGGAGCACAACACAGCGCTGCCGCCTCAAAGCCGTGTTTCACTTCTGCTGTGACCTTTTACATTTGTCGCCATGTGTGTCCAGCGTGACTTTGTCTGCCGCCGGCCTCCGACAGGACCTGCTTTCTGAGAACTGTAGAGGTTTTAGAAATATTGTTTATAGGCCGTCTTTAAAGGCATTACTTGAGTTTTGGTTGCTATTCAATATAACCATTGATATGGCGGTGTCACATCTGGGTGATATGATCATATTGCGCAATCATTTTCTGAAATTCTAGTCTCCAAATGAATTAACATTTAGTTTGCTACTTTTGAGGAGTTTTGTTAAATGCTTAACAATGGCATTCAGTTTGTATTATTAAATGTGATTTATTCATATTTAACGGTTTTATAAAGTTGATATGTGATTTTGCAAACATTTGCATTTGATGTATCGTAAAAAGAAAAATATTGTTGTTGATAAACATTACCCAGCCTTGCCATTAACAACCATTGTAAGATATAATAGTAGTTCAAATAGTAACGCATGCAAAACAGGTCATAACACAATATGAATACACTCAGAAATGAGTAGTGTCATCTTTTGCTGCTTCGTCTGAATGTATGTATTTTTAAACAGTTATAATCTCCCCTACAAACCAGCCATAACTGGTTTATGAATAGCTAATGAATGATTGATAACACAGAACAATCATATTTAATAATATATGATTAAACACACAAACGCATCCCTCTGGCCTTCATGGATGGAGTTTGTTTGAAGTTGTTGAATATAATGAATACCATAAATATGTTGTATTTATTAAGGACTTCATTCGAAGAAATGTATGCGATATTACCTCAGTTTATGTAATAAATGAATATAATTCACATTCATATGAAATAGGGGGTGATTATGATTATATTGTTAGTAATATTATCTGAAGTTGTTCAAAAATACATTATTATTACATTATAAGTGTACAAATACATCGTGTTATATAGTTTGTTATTTAAACCATTAAATATTGATTTTACACAGTTTATTGATGCTAAAAAGGGGAGGATAAAATGTGTTCCAGCTTTAAGTCCCGTTCAAATCAGCAGCTATTTGGTTAGTCTTTAAGTAATATGGTTATAGGATTCTGCCTCACACTGTGCCACACTGAGGTAACCAATGCTTTGATATCTCTGCTCGTATCGGCCATTGAAAGCAATGTTGCAAATCAATAAGCAGGACAGCTTTATAGACTGCAGTATTGGATTTACAGGATTTTCCCTTCAGTGTGATGAAGTGCACTGATTAGATTAGGTATTCGTTAGGTATTCGTCTGCCACCTGGTTACTTTGTGTACAAGCTGTGTCTCAGCTCAGTATGTAGTAATAATGATGATACATGCGAGTTTTTGAACGATTATTGTGATACACATAATTAGTTTGTTCAAATGGTGAGATCCCCAAGAAAAGAACAGCGAAATAAGAAACGACTGAGAAGAAAGGGGACGTAAGACAGGCCTCTGATATCCCTCAGCTATGATTCAAGATTCCTCTCAAGTAATCACAGAATGAAAATGTGTTTGAAATTCATATGTAAGTGCACGGCCGGGGTAAGTCATCTCAGAATCGCTGGGAGTAAACAAGCCAGCTTTGTTTGGATATCCTTGGACACAACATTTGGTTCGCATCATACTTTTCACTTTTAGACGCAGTTTTACTCAATATGTGGACGTCTATATCCTGAAAGCGACAGCGCACAGTACACAGATGTGTTACTCTCTAAACATCCCCCCCCCCCACCCCCCATCATCAGCGAGGTTGTTTTGACCCAAACAGACACTAACCGCCATATGAGAGGAACATCTGCCCGCCACGATGAACTGATTGGGGCTTAAGAGCTCGTTCTCAACATGTGAAGAATAAACTGAGGTGTGTGTGTGTGTGTGTGTGTGTGTGTGTGTGTGTGTCTGCATATTTGTGTGCAGATATTTGAATGTTGGCCAGTGGGATGACAGCAGCGTATCCTGGCAGTCTGTGGGAGAATAGAAGCTAACAATCTGCTGATGCTAGCGAGGTCCGCGTCGGAAACAAATTCAGCAGAAACAGTGAAAAAATACCCGCAACAGTCTCTCGGAACGTACAGGCGTCGCATTATCTTTTCCCATGTAGGTCGGTTTGAGCATCCGACAGGCCGGGGATTGCAACGCCATCGCCAAGTGACAACATGGCTGCATGAATGCAGGGCAGCACGGGCTTTTACACTAAACTATTAACCGGGAGAAAACACAAATCCCCTGAGCTCACGTTAATGGAAGCTGAAAAGGAAAATGTGTTATTCGAGGAAACGTCCAGGAAAGTCTCCCCCCCCCCTCCCTCCCCGGCTGTTCCTCAACTTCGCCAGGGCCGTGCGCACATTTCCCAAAACGGTCCGAAGCGAGCTGTCAATCAACAATCCATGTGCCCTAAAAACCTTGTTTGAAAAACTACTTTTAAATCTATTTCTGTGAGCGGAATATTTGATGCACAATGTGCCCGTCCAGCCCAGTAGCTATCAGAGGAAGGGCCGCGAGAAATTAGAGCGTCGACTGAAACTTGAGCTGCTGTTTACAACTTCTGAGGAAGTCGCCGTAAAAAAAAGTCCTCTTCAAAAATAAGTGAAACAAATTATGACTACGAGGTGTTGTTGCTTGTAATAAAGAGGTAATACAGATTTATTGAAACAAGATGTAATATTTAGGTGGTTCAAAATAAAAATCGATTTTTTGGCTTTATTTCACTAGTATTGGGAAGTGTTGCGTGTCATCATAATGCTCAGAAGTAGTATTGTTTCAATTCAAATTATATTCAAGATGCATTGCAAAAAACAAGAGGCTATATCTCACCGATGTTACTTATTAGACAAATGCACTTAATAAGACAAGATTTAGCGTTTTTTGGAGTCTAGGGTTCACTAACAATTATTTTCAATATTGATCAATATGCCGATTGTTTCATTGACAAAACGATGAATTAAAAATACTAATAAATGCAGTGTAATTTCCCTGAGACGTATTTAAACTGCTGGTTTTATATGACGGTACTGTGCTTCAGTACAATTCTGAAGTACTTGTACTTTACTTGAGCAGTAATTAGACAGCTGTGGTTCTTATGTACTTACCCTAACCCATACAAACATGATGCCCTTATGAATTCGGATGCATTGTTACAGATAAGATAACTCAACATTATGTAAAATAGTTCAAATTAGTTACAAAGATAAAATGCTACTTCGGTCAATACATTAATGCATCAATCATAATAATACAAAGATATAATAACGCTTAGAGGGGCTGTTTTCCTACATTGAGGACGTTTGCTCCTGGTATATTTTACTGATAATACTTGCATAACCCATGCAGCGTTTATAATGCAGGACTTTTACTTGTAATGAAGTATTTTTACAATGTGGTATTGGTACTTTTGCTTCTTGGATCTGAATACTTCCTCCATTACTGTTATCCGACCGTTGGATGATATTGTGTTGACCATCATACATGTCAAAGAACAGCATCGGCTCCTCATTAACCAACAAGTCATTCCAGCTGTAGTGACCATAAAAAAGCAATATAACTGAAAAATGATACTTTTGACTGACTCTATTGGTGCTGAAAGTAAACGTTGATTAGTTGCCAAAAGGGTTGACTGAAAGTTCACTGAACACTTTTTTTTTTTCCATTACCAATGATGCGTTTTAGGAATTCATCGAGCAACAAACTTCAAACATTCACAGTTGCAGCAGAAAATGTGCTGCTTTTTCTCTGTTCCATTGAAACAACAACAAATTGAATATATATATATATATCTATATTTGTCGGTCAGACAAACCAAAGTCTTTTGAAGATAAAGAACCAATCGTTATTTTGCAGCCCTATAGAGTCTAACCCTCTGCAGCCACGCTGGATGTTGTTTCAATTAACACAAAACAATCCCGCGCTCAGCTTGGCTCTGACCCCACGCGCTATTGTGTTAAAGCTACGCTTCCTTCGCCTCTGCAGCCGAATGCCAACGCTTCCTGCAGCCACGTCCTCGAGATCTTCCCATATGTCCACTCCGCTCCCCCTTTTGCACTTTGCTCCATGGATTACATCTCGGTGACTCACCCCAGTGCCCGCATTGCTCCGTAGTGTATCTTCCTGTGGAGACACTCCCGTGCCTAATCACGTTGAATCATCGCTTTGTGGGAAAATATGCGCCCTGACACGTCAATACCTAATTGTGCTTTAAACGCCTCGTGTTCCGCCGTTTGTCTCTATATAAAATGTGAAGTGAAGAGGAAGCGCAGTTGATTGCAGGAGAAATACAGGCGGCCCATATTTCATACATTCAGCGCTCTCTTTCTCCCCCACCACATCATGTCACCGTGCTCATTAGAAAATATGTTGACTCACCGCCTCGCACGCACCTCTCCCCTCTCCCCCCCTCTCTCTCGCTCTCTCTCTCTCTCTCTCTCTCTACCTCTCTCTCTCCTCCTCTCAATCATTGTCTCCCTCACTCTCACTCCTCCTCCCCTCCCCACCTTCTCCCTCCTTCTGGCGGGTTTTGGCAGTTCTGAGGTAGTTTGCTGTCTGCATAGCTAAGGGAAATGTCAGCAGTACACACACACAGAAAAATGGGTCACAACATTAGAACGCTCCCCGCACATGCTCAGTGGGGCTATGTTGGGGCTATGTGAGTGAATCAGATCACCGTGTCCTCTCGTATCGGCTGCCGTATGCCAATGTTCCCCACTTCTCACTCCTGTCTTTTCTCATCAATTATTGACGGAGCACAACAGCTCACGGCTGGGTTCACCACTGCTGCAGTTGGTGCGGAGCAATGCGGTGGTCTGGACACGGACAAGATAAAAGAGAAGATCAATTTATGTTATGTTATGTTTGCCAAAAAAACAACAAAAAGCACTATTGCCCATGATTTTATCTTTGTCTTTCCTCTTTCCAAATGTCCTCCCTCTTCATTTTTCTCCCTCTCTCTTCTCTCGTTTATATCTTCCAGACATCCCACACCCGAATCATTTCCCTTCTCCAGTCTCGGCCAAACTGAGGTGGAAATAGAAAATAGACTGCTAGACTGTCAGGCTCTATTCTCACACACACACACACACATATATATATATATATGCACGGCCACACACATGCCACGCAAACTTGCCACGAGGGACTTTTAAATGTAAATTGCCTCCAAGTACGCCCTCCTCTCAGTTTCTCACACCCGTCCCTTTGGGCAGGCCTTGGGGGCAGTTGCCGATAGTGCATCTGATAGTGTTCTGTGGAATCCATCAGGCCGGCCTCGGTAATAGTTTATAGCTGTCTGCCAGCCCTGCCCTCGTTAAAGCCGTGCCGCGTGCGCACCGGTGTTTACCGCGCAAAGACTTCAAAGTGCATGCTCTGAAAATCACAACAGACGGACAGATAAACAGTCTGTTTCCTTTGCGTCCCCCTCAGAGCTTATACACCCCCCCCCCCCCCCCCTTCTCGTCCCGTCCTCCCATTCTCTCCTCTTCAGATGTGTGCCTCTTTCAGGCAGAGTTAAATCCAGAGCAATAAATAAGACATATTATGGCCTTTTAACGTGATGAATAATGTACAACAATAAAAAGTTAATATATAACTACTTTACCCTCATTCTGCCATGCCTAAGTGTATTGTAAGTATATTCTAGGTGTGTGTGTGTGTGTGTGTGTGTGTGCGTGCCCCTCTCATGAATGTGTCAGTGTTGGGAATGCCTGTCTGAGTGTTTGCTGAAGGAGCTGCTGATGTAGATGTGAGCTCATTTTTTACGACAGGACAGGGATACTTGCGTGTTTCGCAGACGTTCGCTAACTTGTCCTTCCTCTTTTTTTTCTGCTTTCATCTTCACTTCTTAGACGCTTTCAACACATGCAAAGATAACCTTCTCTGTGTGTAAAAGAGATATCAGAAGATAATAATAAATAATCCTTGCCGACGCAGGGGGAACGAGTCATTGTAATTCAGCGCATGCAGCTTGCCGAGGCTGAGTTTCTATGTGTTTTGTGTTTTCCCACAGTCCCAAACGCAGCGAACCCCGTGGCGCCGGACGCTACAGAGAACAACGCCATACCGGAGTCCAGTCCCAGTCCGCCTGACCTGGGTCGGACCGGGCCCGAGGTGCCAAGAAACCCTGGTGAGCAGATTGACAGACCAACGCTCTACCCAGAAAACTGCAGCTTCAGACTCTTTACAGAATGCCTTCTCGTTTTTAGAGTGCAAATATTTTAGTAAAATAAAGGTTTTTGAAGTGTAAAAAGGGAATATTCACAGCCTCAAGGCTTCCTCTAATAATTAATCACATTTAGCCTGAAAAGAGAAAATAAAAATCATAGTTGAGCCTCCCAAAGTAGGTATTCTCTCATATGGCTTTTTCATGCCGCAGGCATTTTCCTTTGATATCTGGGGGGTCAACAGGCGAAAAACGATGTAAAACCAAATGTTATACGGAGTAGAATAGCACTCGCCAAAATGCAGCTGGCAATAAAACAATAAGGAACCACGCCCCAAATCAAACACGGCTCACCCTGAGTCACTTTCTTATTCATACTGTACACACAGTGCGTGCTGCACCCAAGGAGACTCAAAGACATTCCTCTTTATAATATTTATTTTTAAACCTCATTTGAATTGCAGATAAATGAAGATTAAAAGCAGAGATAATTGAAGGAGTCACTCGAGCCGTCCGCGGAGGCTCCGGGGGCCCCTCCTCCTTTCCTGTTTTCACCACCAGCACCTTTCGTAACTTCCTTCCCACAGAAGGGACCGCTTCTCAACTTTTTTTTGACTTACTCCACAACTTTGTACGCCACAAACTTCCCCCAAAGTACAAACCGTTCTGCCTGTCCCAACGTGATAAGCTGCCCTCGTGTAATAATTGCTTATTTGACATTATAGTTGCTCTATAAAAAGATGTCCTGAAGTCACTTTTCCCTATGCCGGGGCTTTTACCCGTCTACCATTGTTAGATCAGTGATTATGTCAAGTAAGGAAGCGGAGGGCGGATTGAAGGACGTGTCGCCGTGGTTTGAGAGGGGCTGATATTTCAGGAATGAGATGCCTGACAGCCCCGCTCTCCAGCTCCCCTTCCAGCGCCCAGAATGTACGAAAAATTCCTCGCGCCTCTGATTTCATCGATAAGTCCGGGAATCGGTAGCTTTGAGTGATGTCATTTAGCCGTGATAAGGCGCAAGGCTCAGTTACCCCCCCTCGGTAAATGGTTAAGTGCGGAGTGGTCAGCCGAGTGTGGAGACACAGTCATTAGCGGGGATGGCAGTCTCTGGAGGTACAAGGCTTTTGTGTCTCCTGTGGGGGGGGGGGGGGGTCATGGACAGTAAAGAGGTGGTGGTGGGAGGAGGTGAGTGCTGCTCTTTGGCAGCAGCTGCATGCATACATGGAAAACAGATTTGGTCCTTCTCAGATTTCAGTCACTAGAGGAGCCAGTCACAGCCGCCGCCCCCCGTCCCCCGTCCCCCCTCAGAACCCCAGAGACTAAAGGACAAAATAAAATCAGATGTTCAGATATGCCCTCCTCAATTTTTTATTTTTTCCACATCTCGCTTGGCCTTTGCCATACAAACGTGGCCCCGACATGTCGCAGGAGTTGCCGGGGCTCAGCCTTATCAGAGCGGGAATCTCTGTTATGTGGAGTGATGTCTGCAGATTTCATTAGGAGTCTATTTTGAATGAGCTAATTCAATTAAATCACATCAGTGGGGGCCGTTAGTCATGTAGAGCGAACAACAAACAGGGATGTGATCACAGTTGATTTAGGCACCGAGCAGTCAGATCTGCACTTGACGGGGGCAGCTTCCTGTAAATGATATGATCCTCGGATTGTTCCGCGGCCTCTGAGGGGACTGTATGAAAATGATTTAGTTGGGAAGGGGCGCTGACTCTTAACCTCCCCTTCTGTTCGACAGAAAGAAATCTCTAAATAATGTATCCAACTATAAAGCAAGGGATCTCCGCCTGTCTGTGTGTTCTTTGCATATCTGGACAACTGTTCATCCGATTTACCGCACACTTGGCAGGCGTATTGCTGGGGACCTAAGGGAGAGCAGTGTCGAATTTGGTGCCACTTGGACACGCGACACATTCATTATTTAAAAAAAACAACAAGCACACAGCTCTCTGTGTAGCAGCGGGGGCGGAGATTAAGGGCTCTTTCGTCCGCAGCGGGCCTGACTTAAATTCACCGCTCTTTCTTTTGCTGTTGGATGCTGGACAAAGCCTGCTAATGTCACATGGGCGCTGGATAAAACGTTACAACCGGAATCTTCTTCATCCCCCTGGAGTTAGCATGAGCAGATAGCAAACAGGAAGTAGAATCGAAGCAGAGTGTATTTCACCGGTGTTTCGCGACCTGGGTGTGTTTTTTTTTCTCAAGGGCGGATTTAGGGATTTGGGCACCGCTGCAAACGCCGTCTCGTTTTACTTCTCACCCTTTCTCTAACTGGGGATGTTGGTATCGGCAGTGGTAGAAGAAGATAGCTACTCAAACCTTTTTTCTGAAGTAAAACTATTAAAAAACTATGAATACTGCACCGTCAAAGTCCTGCATTCAAAGAAGAGTGAAAGAGGCGTTATCAGTACAATGTGCTTACATGTGACATCTGTTCGAGGTGGAGCTTTTAATTCTAAAGTGATGCCGGATAGTTTAATGAATACTACACGCATTTGAGTTGTTAAATTTCGTGAGCCAAATCTGAACATTTATAGTATTCAGTTGAGTCGCATATTTGTAAGTGCTTTGGGTCCCTTTTGTAAGTTATTTCTGGGTACAATGAGTTTGAGTAATAACACAATTCAATATTTTTCATATCTAAACATCATAATAAATCCACAGCTGTTTGGGACCCTTTTAATTTGGGGCCCCAGGCTCAGGTTGCCGACCAAGCGTTCAGCTCGTTCAGCCTTGTTTTAAACGGGCACTGTTTATTGCCAACTTAACAAAATAGTGGAAACACGGCCACTCTCTGTTTTGAAATAAAGAGCCTCTAAATAAACTGTTATCCTAGCCACCAAATGTGTGAACCAGGAACAGGCAACAGCTCTGTGCCGAAGGGCTTGTGCACTGCAATATTTTCACCCCACCCCGTATCCTCTGCATATGGCAAAACGGACCTTTATGGCTCACATGAAAGCCATCTTTGAATGATTTATGCACAGTCCCTAAGCCTTCTCTTTTTTTATTCCTCTCTGTAGACCCCATGAATCAGGACCCATCTGGAAACTCTGGAAACTCGGACGGCATCCTCAACTCCAAGGTGGCCGTGTTCTCCGCCATCGGGGCCGGCTGCATCATCTTCCTCGTGCTCATCCTCCTCCTCGTCATCCTGCTCATCAAGATGCGCAAGCGCACCAGGAAAAACGTCCACTCGCAGCCCCGCCCCTCGGGGCTGTCTCTCAGCACGCTGTCCAATCCCAAGATGCCCGGGGGCACGGCTGGCACGGAGCCCAGTGACATCATCATTCCGCTGCGGACAGAGAACAACTACTGCCCTCACTATGAGAAGGTGAGCGGCGACTATGGCCACCCCGTCTACATTGTCCAGGAGATGCCCCCGCAGAGCCCCGCCAACATCTACTACAAAGTCTGACGCGCTCGGCCGTGCACAGCCAGCGACACGGTCGGGAGGGAGAGAGGAGCGCTTGATTTATGTCCTTGGGAAGAACACTTTCCTTTGCATTTTGGGGGACTTGATGCATCTTCAAGCCCAGTATTATTTCTACCACCTGCTGCACAAATCTGGAGAGACGAGCGCTGACCAGTAACCAGCAGGGGTTTGTGAGCTGACTGATGGGAGAGGTTTATTCTGTTTGTTTGGGTTGTCTGACAATCCCCACCCGCCCCTCCTCCCCCTCCCCCTCCTCCCCCTCACCTCCACACCTGCTACATCTCCCCACTGTGCTCCGACGGGGGGGGGGGGGGAGAGCGAACCAACAGATGGAACTCCAGCTTCCTGGTTTTGCTGTCCCCTTTAACGGGCAGGATATAACTTATCTCAGTTCCCTGAAGTACAGTCTGTGGTCCACCCAATTAAACACACCATCCCAGCACACAAGCCAGGGACAGGCAGACACAGGCCCCGGACGCCACTCAGCCTGCAGTTTGTGTGCAAGCATTACACGTGTGGATGTGTGCGTGTCTGTGTGCGTGTGTGTTAGTCAGGGCTCCGCGCTGAGCCAAGCAACTCTCCAGGTAGCTCAGGTATCAGACACAGCGTGTGAAAAATAACTTGTTCCTCTCCCGTTCGCACCTCTGATGTTTGCCTTACTTACTATTTTTGATGGAGGATTTCCTCGAACCCTGATTCAGTTCACAAAGCAGTTGTATTTTGTTAGACTTTTCCTACAAGTGCACAATGTATAGAGTTGAATAGATCATCATTATCACTCCATGTTCTTCTCACCACCCATGTCATCCATCACATTCATTTTGTCCAAAATTTTTTTTTTTCCCCTTTTTTTTTTTTTACCTGAGAATGTACCTTGACCCGGACTCTTGACATTGAGGTGTGTGTGTGTGTGTGTGTGTGTGTGTGTGTGTGTGTGTGTGTGTGCGCGCGTGCGCGTGTGTGTCTGGGCATGTCCGGACCAGTCCCGTATCTGGGCAGACTTACTGGCTTAGGGGTAGAACATTAAGTTACTTTATGGTAAGGTTGAAGAACAAGACAGACAGACAGACAGACAGACGCACCGACAAACAGACAGACAAGCCCAAGATCTTAGAAAAACCCTCTCATTGCTCCTGTTGGCACCGACTGAAGGTTTTATTGTCTCTGATGAGCTTTTTGGGGGGGGGGGATGTTTTTTTTTTTTTTAAGACAGCAGGCAGATTGATATTTGTTTGTTCTGGCTTCTGGTGCTCCAGTGTAAGCATCAAACAGTTCGTGTGGTGCCTGCCGCCTGGGCGAGGTGGGCGTGGGTTTGAGGTGGCCGCCACCGATTGGCTGGCCTACATAGGTAGGATGCCCCATATATGAGTTGGATGGCGGGCCGCGGCTGAACGTTGGGACATACAGTATCGCCGGACGCCAATTGGCCGCCATCTGTGGGATGAGTCAGTGGAGTGCGCAGTGAGTGGTGTCGCCAGCATGTGACTAATCTATGTGCCATCTCCGTGCCCACACTCGCCAGCCGGGGAGGAGAGAGAGAGATAGGATGAGGGAGAAAATGTTCCTGTGACTTGGCTTTTTACCTTCGAGGAAGATGGCGGGTGGTGGGTGGGGGCGGGGGTAGTTTAGCATTCGTTTTCCCATCCTCTCGCCAGTTGTGCTGTGAATAAAAAATGCTGTGCAGAATATTCCTCAGTCAAGGTGTTCAGCCAGAGAGGACACTGCAGCTCAGCTATCACACAGCCCAGGGCAGCCGGCACCGAGACAGGATTTACTGCAGCCGGATGTGTGCACACACGTGCACACTGACGCTCGCTTTTAGGTGAGGTGAGGGAGGAGGGGGGGTGGATGAGCTCTCTGTGTGCACATGCAGGTGCTTCTAAGTGTGAGTGCTTATTTGTGCTTATATTTGCAGTTTTTTTGTTTGTTTTTTGCTCCCTCCACGTGTTGTGTGTATGAATGCTCTCCGTGGTCGATCAGCTGACTTGTTTTTCGAGGTACTGGAACTAGGTGCTCCCAAATGGTGCGGCTGCCAAAAAGTACAGAGCGCCGCAGTCCCAGTTAATGATGTGTGAGAGGAGAGGGGGAGCAGATAAGGACAGCTATTCCTCAGCGCGCAAGACGCGAGCTGACGTTTCGGCGCGCTCGTGCGCACAGACACACCGAGACTGACGGGTCCAGGTTTATCTCCAGTCGGAAAAGGGGTCAGGCCGCCTGGTGAATGTTTATTCACCGGCAGAGACACCCATCATCTGCTGCCACATACTATTGCCATCCACACACACACACACACACCGCTGAGTTAAAAGGCAGCCCCAGCTTGGAGACTCGGTGGGAGGGGGGGGGGTGACTTCAGTAGTGTTTGCGTGTCGTTAACCTCAAAGTTAACAACCTAAACAGCTGCTCGTGCTTTTGCGGCCCTGTGTTTTAGCTCAGCATGCAGCCCTCAGTGGCCCTCTGTGAAACGCATTTAAATCAAATATTTTTGTTTCGGATCGGTGCGCATCCATTCACCTGCGCCAGCCGAGGGAGTCATTATCAAATTACCACCCACCATATCTCATTTTTATTCATTCTAGTCACCACTTTAAATGTTTGGGTTTTTTTTTTTTTTGTGAGAGAAAAAAAAAAAGAAAATTAAAAGGAGATTACAGAGTAATGTAAATATATGGATAGAGCCCAATTTAAGATGTAACTTCACCTGAACACTGCTCATAAGAAGAATTTAAGATTAGATTTTTGTAATGGAGGATGTTTGTAAATAGCTGTCTTTTTAAAAGTGTGTTTTGTATGAATCCTTGCATTTTTTTTGTCTCTGTTCGCAATATGTTTTTATTTTATGTTTCTTCTAGAGTTAAACTGAATATTGCAACGGACCCATGAGCTGGCTTCTTTTTTTTTTTTTTTTTTTTGCAGCGTCCAGTATTGTCAAAAAGTCTTTGTTAACACACGTGTTTAAACAACAACAGCAGCAAAAGCTGGGGTTCAGAGTTTTTACATCGCCATTCAACAGGATTCTAGTTGCTCATAAAACTGTTCAGGACTAAAGCTTTGCCACCAAGCGAAGCTTTGAAACGGATAGATCATTGAAGCTATGAATGATGAGGCACCCATCCCTGTTGGAGACAGCACTTAACTCTGCATATGAAGACTGTGTAATTCCACTGTTCCACTGCCTTTGAGTTACCCACACCTTCCACTCCATTATTAGATGTAACAAAAACATTTTGGTCCAGGGAGATTAATCTTTTCTCAGTTTTAATAAGACCATCGGGCTAGACGGAGGGGGAGACGGAGGAGAAAAAGGGGGCCACGAATGAGAGTGTGACCGTTCTGCGCTCGCCATAAATCATCCGGTTTACACCACTCATTATCTCCCAGGCGGTCTTTGTTTTAAAGTTGCTCTCTCCCTCCCTTCCCTAAATCAGCACAAAGATGTTGGTCGCTCATGGTATGAGCCTCACTGTAGGTTGATTTCTGCTATTGTTCAAAAGCCACAGTATTATTTTTTCAATGTGCATGTGTAAGCAAAAAACCTGTTGAATTTGTTTCCCTTTGTTTGAATCATAACTGTCAAGTTGTGTTATTTTCTTTCTTTCTTCTTTTTTTTTGCCATTCACTTCTTTCGCCGCTTCTCAGCGTAACCTATTGGCACCAGCTACAATGGAAATAACGTTCCACCAGTTTGGAAACTACCGCATATTGATAAATAAAATTTTTCCCATGGAACTTGTTCTGGAGAGATGTTCTTTCTTTCTTTCTTTCTTGTTCTGTGTTTTTCTTCCTTCAAGCCTCTACAAATGTGGACAAAACATTTCATTCGCCTTCTCACTGACCAACTTGGTTCACGGTGGGAGCATAAACCAGCCGCCCACGCTCACTGCACCCCCCCCCCCCCCCCTAAAACCCTCACCTCAGGGGTCAGTGCTGCACAGATGGGTTTGTTCTGATACATTAGTCAGATTGAAATCACAAGCAGGCTTCATAAATTCATATTCGGGGAGTATACGGACACGCCTTTCTGCATAGTAACTAATACCCGTATCAACCCGCTCTGCCCTGGTGTCCTCCAAAATTACATCTCTTCATACATGATTAAATCTGATTGGCTGCACTCTGCATTTCCACTGCGTTCCGTCTGAAATTACAGTCCGCATTTAACCAAACTGAGGAACAAACTCCTCCTGAGTCCCCTCTGTGAAAGTGGAGATGGCATGAAATGCTATTAAAGTGATTGGGCATTTTTCTCCCACAAACACTGATGTGTTTGTGGGCATGGCTTTCGTGTGGCTGACGATGTGAGCAGAGACGGGAGTGGGCGAGTGAAGAGACTGAGAGAAAAAAAAAAAAGAAAGTCAGGGCAATGAGAGACATAATGTGCCTGTGGCTTCACTGGCTCCCACCCCCATCCTCGCTGTTTCTCTCTGCGCCCTGGGGCAGGTACGTTCATCTGGTTTCCTGGCTCCATCCCGAGACGCCCCCATAGATCCACGTTACTGTGGGTTTATTAAAACCTTCCCCCCACTGAGCCACTGTGTGTGACTGCATGTTTTTTTACTGTGTGTGTGTGTGCGCGCATTTGCCAAAGGGCTCTTCTGTTGTTCGACAACTGAGTCAACATCACAAAAACAAGGAAATATTACTATTACAGCATGCACTGCAGCATTCTTACTCTTCATTTTTTGGGGGGAAATGCATCCTCTAGATCCTTATTAAAATCAATATTGGAGTAACAGTTGTCCAGTTTATATATATATATATATATATATACACAAAGTGCTGCATCGTCCTCAGCAGCTTCCAACTTTGATCAATGGTTGATCTCTTTAACTGTCAGTATTTAGGCTTTTGTGCTCTGAGACTCCTCTTCATTTGCATATTTAAGCACCAGTGCATTTTTAAAGTGCAGCTAAAACACCCTAGTGTGAGAATGTGTCATCCCCCACCTGGTTTTTTTTGGGAGGATTGTGTAACATGGTGGCTGGCATGTTTTTATAGATGGAACAAGTCACCTGGGAAAGCAACAGCTGCCAGCAGTTTGAGGTGGCTTGGGAACAATTTAACTTACAACTCGGTTTCCTCCATGACCGTGAATACTAATTGAGAAAAAGAACATTTTTTTCTTCCCAGTTTAGTTTTTCTAACAGTTTGTAATGTGGAAAAGAAGTAAATCACTGGAGATTATCATAGCGTCACCTTTGAGGCGTTGAGACCTTCAAGCGGAGCAAACTTGCACTGTTTTGTGTGAAATGAACTTTCGGGCTGACAACAAAATTGCATAGTATAAATTCATAGCGTGTGGCCGCCCTCGTAATTACTATCAATCTGATGTAAACTAAACGAGCACAGGGTCTGTTAAGGTGAGGAAAGCATTGATTGATGTTCTTTAGAGCTGAGTAATTCGTTTTAAATTGCACTGGTGCTGTTATTTATTCTTCTTTTTTTTGCCTCAGATGACCACCAACCGGTTGCGCGTTAGCATAGTTTACTTATCATGTTGGTTTGCTGCTTCATCACTGCCTGCGAGGTGAGTCATTTTCACTTCCGCAGAGAAGCCATGCATGGATGGAGAAAAATGAAGTTGTCAGCGGGAAATCTGAAGCGATATCCAACCAGATGAGGGCAAAGTCTTCAACAACACTGGTAGGATTCCTCTGACGGTGGAAGTTGGCGCCACATCTTAGTTTTTCTCTCACGTCATTTCACACTCTCGGCTCCCACACAAAATCTGCTGCATGTGCAGACACTATACTACCCCTTGATCTGTAGAAGCGAGCAAGTTCAAAACTCCGCAACTCCTCGACTGTGACAATGCATCCGGGGGGGGGGGGAGTCCGTCAATATAAGCTCTTAAACGATTCAGTGTGCCGTCTCTCCTAATGTCCTCCCCCCCCTCATATGGATCGTGCAGGCGACTCGTAACTCACACCAGAATCAATATGACATGCTATGGGACATGTTCTTTCTCATGTAATGTACCTATGCATATTTAATGGGTTAATGCATCACTCAGCCAGTCATAAATAATGCAGGCCCACTAATGCCTTTCATCAAATTTTTTTTTTTTTGGTGGTCAGTCTCAGAGCTATAAGGACGCAACCTGAGACGGCGCAAAGAAGCGGAAACTGGAGGAAGAAAATGAAAGGAGAGTTCATTAGTCAAAGAGCTACATGTGGATCGTTCATGAAAGGGTTAATTAATGTGATTCAAGTCCCAATCAATTGGGGGGGGGTGGACTATATCTAAACAACGTTCCTCTTTCATCCCTCAAAGGGGCAGGAAATGGAAATTCCACCGAAACATCTTGGTTCTCTTGGGTTTATGGTATGCTTCATCTTTATGTGTCATTACACACACGCGCACAACACGCACGGCCGTCAGCCACATATTGATGGCATTGTTATGACCAGAACATGCCTGATCAAACCTGGGCTATGGCAGGGATCCATGGTCTGACCAAGACTCATCAATCATACAGAGAGCGAGAGAACCTGAGAGACTTACGCCCCTGGAAGAAACGCACACACGAGCGCACGCATGGGAGAAATAGCTGTTGCGGCTGGCTGCCGGGTCACAGGTGTGGAGACCAAGGAAGAAAGTGGGAATTATTCCCTTTTCTTTCTTTCCCTCCTCCCCTTTAAAGAAACAGCTCGCTCGCCCTCCCTCCCTCCCACGTCTTTGAAAACATCCCATTTCCATCCACATTTCCTTCACCCAATTTAAAACCCACACTTCATTCGCCCCCTCTGCATCACCACCCCTCTCCTCCTCCATCTCCTACTCTCAATTAGGCCATGCCTCGAATCTCAGGCATTATCTCTCCTGGCCATTTATATAACATGACTCCAAAACGCATTTGCACAATTTTCCAATTACAGTATTATGCCTTGAAGCTTTGGTTCCTTCTGTCTCTCTCATTCCCCCCGTTCACTCAAACCGCTCTTGATGTTTAACACTACAAAAGAATCACCCCGACAAATACAGACAGGTTGGTACTTTGGAGTAATGGCCTCACTTTTCTTTGTGCATTGTTGATGTTTACTTTATTTTCTACCTGTTTTTAAGCTATGGTATATATCAAGGACGTGTGTCGGCTGACTGATTGGTGGGGGAAGGACAAAGAGATGATGGAGGTATGTCTGGCAATGCCCAAGGAATAAATTAAAGTCTTAAATGTATTTCAAAATACAACAAACTAAACTGTCTCAGTCACTGGCACACCATTCAGCAACTACTACATGGAATTGCCGACTGAATATCCGACGGATTTTAAATAGAAAAAGCTGTGAACACTATCTGAGAACCTGAGACTATACTGTTAATTAATTCAAACTTGAAACTATTTGATGAAAACTTTGTATAACTGAAACATATTGAGGTGAAACCTGAGGTTATTGAATATAAACTTGTGAATATAAAATGAAAGTCTGCGAATATCGAACATAATCCTGAGGATATAGAAAGACATTTCTTATAAATATTTAAAGAAAAATAAATGAATACCAAAGAATATTGAATCAGAATATGGAAATATTGAACTAAAACCTGATGGGAATGAACAAAAGCCTAAAAACATGACGTAAAAGCTGGAGAATATTAAATGAAATACATACCATGCATGATGTTGACATAATGATGTTTCTGTTATGTATTGTAATACAGTTTTAGGATATACTTTGTGTCAATGAGTGAGTAGATATTCAGTAACGTTAAAGGAGACATTTTTCAAACATTATGTTGGTGAGATGTCATGAACTTTTCTCTATGTGCACCCAGAGCTTGACAACTACCATTGCAAAGGTGCGCCACATTTTCCTCGCAAGCCAGTCAGAAGCAGACTGGGTTTTTTCGTTAGGGGGCCTTAAAGGGACAGGCGCTAAAACGGAGCATTTCAGACAGAGGGTGTCCACGGGTATATTCAGACAGGTGGTATGAGAAAAATAAAGTGTTTTTTGAACATTAAAGCACGTAAAAATGTTCTAGTAGAAACCCCAAATACATGTATGAACTTGAAAATGAGCATGATATGTGCCCTTTAAGTATTGATAAAATAGCTGACTCGTGGCCAAAGCATGTATAGCCCAAAGGACAGTAATGCAAAAAACATGCTTGATCATAATATTCTCAGTGGTAGTACACAGTAGGCTAAGTGGTACAGAGTCACATGAGAAATCTTATTTCCATAGCTACAGTAGAAGCATTCATCAGTACAGCCTTAATCTTATACGATCATTAGTCGGACCTTAAAGCTGTTTAGTATCCGTAAGCGAACTCTGTCCGTTATGATTATAAAGAGCTTCACTTCCGGCTTCTCCAGGGTGGCCTCTTAGAGCTGACTGCTCTATTGTATCAATTCCTTGAAACCCAAGCTAATACAAGCGTCACTGACCACCCATCTGCAAACTAACTGACCTAAATACTAGGCAACATCTGTGGCGGCAGAGATGGTGGAGGCTGACGGATAGAGAGATTATCTGTGTGTGTGTATGTGTGTGTTTGTGTGTGTGCATGCCTGTGTGTCTGTCTGCAAGCCTGTTTGACAATGACAGTGTCAGAATAATAATATCTCTCATTCAGTGCAGCACTGAAGGATCTCTCAATGTCACCCGGCGTGAAGAGAGCAAAACAGACCTTTTATATCGGAGCTTTTCAGCTTAGCAGGCAAATTCACGGCAAACACCCAGCTGAGAAATTAAAAGTGAGAGGAGCAGTCGGGAGGCATCATGAGC